TTCTTTCTTTCTTTCTTTCTTTCTTTCTTTCTTTCTTTCTTTCTACATTCCAATCAAAGTTCTCCCTGTTACCCCTCCGCCCAGCCCCCTTGCCTCCTCACACAGCTTACCCCCATGTTTAATTATAACATTAAAATTGCCACAAGTGAATATGTTGGGGAAGGTAAAATGCAAAGCAGTTGGTAGGTTCTACTGTATTCGATGGGACAAATCCACTTCACTTTTAAAAATAAAATAAATTATATATAAGCTGATGTGCAGCAATTCATTCTTGAAACTTTTAAAGAAAACTATGAAATGCACGGAGAAGAATATCTGTCAGATGCAGTAAATGTCAACATTCTACAATTCTAGTTTCATTTATTTTGCAATCCATTATTTATCATTCACACCAATGAGACAATTCTGTGCCTTCAACTTTGAGTCACAGATTTCTAGACCATGGGCTAAAGTCAGTTGCTTACAACATAATCTCCTGAATGTCCTTGTAATGCAGAGACTAAGGTTTGAATTGGTATGGCTAGGATCCAGTAGTGCTTTCTTATTTCTGCTCACACCATTGTTTTGAATTTTACCTGATCCTTTAGGCTCTGTAACAGGGCTGATTCCTCAACCAGAAACATTTTATAGAAAGTTCATGTGTCCCTAAGTCCTGGGAACTATAGAACAATGGTATTGAGCAAGGTCTGTATTGTTAGGGGGTTGACCTAGTCCCCTAGTAGGGACCTATGGTAACCTCAGAATACAAGTGCATCATGAACTATTAGGCCTTGAGCCAGGGAAGGAATGTGATTTGTTGGGAAGGGGATGCTAGGTCTAATCTTGTTCTCTGTAGGGTACCCAGACTTTTAGTCATGCCTAGAACCTTCAGTCCTGATGTTGTATGACAAATCCCAGAGTCTAGTACTGAAATGAAAACTTGTCATAGTTTCTCACATCCAGCACTGAATGTTGTTGTTGACACTGGGCTGGAAATCATGTCTTGCTTGCCTTAGTTCATATTCCCATCAAGGCTGACTGCAATCGTACCACTTCCCAGCCACATGCAATTCATGGACCCCCACAGGTACTCTGTTTTTATCCTGATTTTACTTGTTTGCATTGATTGTAATAAACTTCCAATTTCCCAATACTATCTTTTCATTTTGACTTGAATAATAGAAACTGAGATCATGTATAATAGAACTGTCTCAGTTTCCCACATTTTAATTCTAAGGAAAGTTGACTAGGCACTAATAGATTGTTAGAAATAGAGATGACACATGATTGTGTCTATTAAAGAATGAAATTAAGGAAGTCTACAACACTCACACTGTACCATTGCATGGTGTGAGAAGAGATTCAGATGAAAGCTGGGAAACTGTGTCTGTGTGGAGATGGTACTCCTTAGGGTGATGGTGCAGGGTATAACCCTGCTTGCAAACTACAGGGTGACAGGCCATCCACACACTCTCTGGATCCCAGTGAAATACACTCTAAAATAAATTAGGTAGAGTAGAAATACAGGTTGAGAATGAATATTTTATTGTGCATTGGGGAGCAGGGAGAATGGCTATGGTAGGCCAGAGCAGTAAAGGTATACTTGTGCACGATTCTAATCCCAGCCTCCATGGGTAAGATGACTGTTGAAAGGCCTAGGAACATGCTGAAGGGGACAAACTCTTCTCCACAGTGTTCTCTCCATGAGTGACCTTGCAGATGAAAGTGTTTTTAGATTTCCATGCTCCTGCTGTCATGGTCAGGTAGCTGGTAGCCATGTACTTGTTGTCACTTTTGGAAGGCTGAGTGGTCTTCACGCCCTGGGTGATAGGGGTACCATCTGCCTCCCAAGCCACTGTCACATCAGCTGGATAAAAGCCACTGATCATACACACCAGTGTGGCCTGGTTAGTCTTGAGCTCCTCAGAGGAAGGTGGAAACAGGGTGACTGAAGGTGCCGCATTGGGCTGACCTGCACGGTGAAGAAAGAGAAGGTCAGAATCTTGGTCTCCCTATAGCAATCCTGGAGATAATGTGTAAAGTGTCTTGAGTTTAGTGCCTTTGTTGGAACAGACAATAGTACAGAAAATGGGGTACACCTTTATTCCACATACTCCCTGTGTGTCTAAGAATTATGCACCCCACATTTGGGCAACACTTCAATTGAAACATCTCTGCACTATGACCTTCAACACAGAGTGCTGACCGTCTTTTCTGCCCTTGTATCCTTCACTCTGCTTTTTATGTATGTCTGCAGTATCTCTGTCCTACTTTGAAGACCGTTCTGGTGTAAAACCTCTGTTGAGACCTAGGAGTTTATTTTTGCCCAAACTTGTGCCTCATGGGTCCGTGGTTTCTGCTCAGCAAAGCATGTACCTGCTTGAACTGTTTCTCATTCTGCAGAATGAAGTGTGATTCTCTGCTCTGGATGAGGTGTCATTTTCATGCATCAGGACCAGATCTATGAGAACACAGTTGCTCTGTTTTCCCAGCAGTGTCTTAAAGAGACTGAGGAACCCAGCTTCCCAACCACATTGTCAATCTCTCTTCTCTTGACTTCCTGTGTCCACAGATCCCGTCCCTTTCTCCTTCTGTGTCCAGAGATCCTTTCTGTTTCTTCTCCTTACTAAACTTCCTGAGTTCTAGATTGGTTACTGCTCTGTTCATAGCTTCCCATGTACAAGCTTTATATCTCTTGCCTGTCCTAGAAATGGAGTCCCAAGTTCCACTGACCAGTTTACCTGTCCTCTGACATGCTATTTACTAGCCTCAGTGCTAAATGTCCTACATTCTCCCACTTCAACAGCTGTCTCTACCTCTATGCCTCTCGTCTTCCTTCCCCATGAGATAGCAATTCACTTTTCCCCTCACAAATTTCACTGGAATGATAGACAGTCATAGAAAATGACACATTGGAGTACTTTTCAGAGAGCTGGGTACCCCAACAGAATGACAGACAGACATTCATAGTTAATCTCCTTCATCCCTCTGTCTTTGAGATTAGACATGAAAGGCAACAGGGAACCATCTGAGGTGAGACATAGAATCTAGAGAAGCAGGAGGTTATTTACCCAGAGTGAAGCTGAAGCATGAAGTAGAATAGAGAATGAGAAATAATCCAACAAAAATCATATTAAACCTTGGCGATTGCAATAAAAGAAGAGGAAGGAGTCACTTACCTAGGACAGTCACTTTGGTGCCTCCACCGAACACCCAACACTGTGATATAGGCTCATACAAAAACCCTACATGCAGCTTACTCTCCAGTTTCAGCTGTGCTGAAGGCATTCCTCGATGATTCTGGGCATGTGATGACCTCTCTGAAAGATTCTTCTTCTTAGAATTCCATATGTCCTCTGAGCCAGCCTTGCCAGAAAACCATCCATTAAACTTTGATCTTCTCTTTGGAAGAAGCTCTTTACAGGATAAGAGAGGAGTCCTTGGTGGCAAGGCAAGGAAGCTACTAGCTACATGGATCTATACAAAAGTTTTGGGACTATTAACTCAGTCTCTGCAGCTCCTGCCAAGAACAAAGAGAGAGGTGTGAAATCCTGCAAAAGACATCAGGTGGAGAACACACACAACCATCGGTTTCAATCCACATCTCCTCTACCTACATGCGGCAGAATTGTTACCAACAATACATTACTGCACACTGTAGGGTCATTTCATGTAGTCATTTGATGACAACTTGACTGTTACCTGATATGGGAAAATAATAGCTTCTTTTGAAGCTTGATATGGTATCTAGGCATTCTTTTTGGAAACCCAGAAGTATAATCATAGCTGACAAAGATATGACTTCTGGAATGTGCTTTCTTAACATGATATAAGGGAGGAATTTTATGCTATAGTTATAGTTGAATCAAAATGTAGGTGAAATGTGCCTTAGAGGCTGCTTGGTGGAAATATGGAAACATTACTATTTCTGAGTTTCCTATTTTTCGTGTTCAAATTTTTCAGTGAAAACTTGAAACAAAAGGATGAGGAATTAAATCTCTGAATCTAGGTATAGATGAGTGTTGGCACTGTCCCAGCAAGGAACATTGCTGTGAGGGTACCTGGGATCTTCACTTCCTATTACTGGGGACACACTTTATCATACCTTACCATCAGAAAACTGCCATGTGACACAAATTCCAAAGATTCTTCTTAGTTCAGAAACTAGGGATTCAGTGGCCTGAGAGCAAGCTCTATGTTGTCACCTGTCATTCTGCCTCATCGTTGAAGAATATTTCTAGGTTTGCAGACTATGCTACTAGACTGTCTGATCCATCAGACTTCTGGATGTAGTCAGTGTTCATGTTGCACATGAGCTATAGAATCTCAAAGCCCTGAACATTAAATACTTAATGACTTAGACAGAGCCTGGACTGTTGAAGGCTGACTGTCAATACCAAAGACTGTGGTTGACACTAAACTGAAGTACATACTGGTGTGCTAATGGACATGAGAGGACTTGGGCCAATAGAGTGGATATCTGCTATACCTAAGTCTACCCAAACAATTGGCTTGAGTTAGCTCTCAGGCCACACACAGTCTTCCTTGAACTCCCTCTCATGACTGTGAGCACCCTGGAAGTTTACTCTGAAACCACTTGCTATGAGCAACTATTTGGCACCCCTTTTGAGATCAGGTTGGATTCATTTCTCATTGGATCCAGTAATTTTGCTTGAGTGATCATCCAACTGCGCGCCCCAGGATAGAGGACCATAAATATTAATGTTTTGAATTATATAATAAAATTCTCTAAGTTCATTGCAAGAACCCACACATTTGTGGATGTTTTATGTTATATTAAGCTAATTGTTTAGCCTAAAACATGGTATCTTACCTGAGCTGCATGCTAAATTAGTGCTACTGCATTGCAGGGCTCAGAGAACAATGCAGAGCAGGGGAAAGGTCACTCTTAGGCCGATACCCTCTGACCATTTCAAAGGTGAACTAATTTGTCACTGGGAACCTGATCCCACCTCACCACACTGTAGATTCAAAGGATTAGAAGTTAAATATATAATGAGAACAAATGGAACAAGGCAGTACTTCTGATTAACCAATGATACTTTATTGAATACTTAGTGGGTAAGAGAGAAGGTTTGAGATTGATAGAATAGAGAGAAGACCACATTCTGGGTCCCATAGCTCCAGGCTTCCTGGGCTAAGGAAAAGACTGGGCTCCTAGGGACATTCTGCAGGGGACAAGCTCTTCTCCACAGTTTCCCCTTCATGGGTAACTTGGCAGGAAACCCTGTTGTAAGATTTCCACTGGTCTGCTGTCAAACTTAGGTAGCTGCTGGTCATGTACTTTTGGCCCTGTTTGGAAGGCTTTGTAGTCTCCACCCCATCATTGATAGTTGCTCCATTTGCCTTCCAGGTCACTGTTGCAGAACCCGGGTAGAAGTCATTGACCAGACACACCAGTGTGGCTTTGTTTGTCTGGAGCTCCTCAGGTGAAGGCGGAAACACTGTGACTTTGGGAGAAGACTTGGGTCCACCTGTGTGAATAAAAGACAAAGATGGATTTCAGGAGACAAATAAAAAGTATCAAAATCTCAGTGACTCTTCCCTTTGGTCATCTTATTCATGTTGAACTTTTGCTTCTTTCTCATCTGTCCCCTTGAGCCTCAGTGAGTACAATCTTCTTAGTAGTCTTTTCCATGACACTCTCCCAAGTTACACGGCCTGGACTCTTCCTTTCTGCCTCCATTACCCTACTATTAGCAGGTATGGCTGTGCTCTCTCCACCCTATTGTCTATGATCTAACTGGAAATTTGCCCAATATCTGATGACTATTATTCCTTATTCCTGATCTCCTGAGTTTAATATGCTATGTAAAGAAGCTGAAAGTGGAAACATGAGACACTATAACCCAGCCCAGCTATCTCCCCTTTATTCCTATGGTGGTCAAAGCTCTCTGGTGAATAGGTTACATTCCACCTTGCTTTGAAGATTGTATTTTCATTAAGTGAGGAGGCCCCTTCTTTGTTCCCAGCACCTGGGGACCCTGAGCCTCCTGTTATCTTAGACAGCAGGGTCTCCTGCTAAATTAGTGCTACTGTATTGCAGGGCTCAGAGAACACTGAGCAATCAATCAATGCAATCAATTCACTAAGCTTTTCCACTGAGTAGTATGTTCTATCCAGAGAAGATCTGAGGCTACTCCGGGCTTCTAGTGCCTCCTGCTCATTTTGACCTGACCACTATACCCTTTATCCTGACCATGTTCTAGAAGTTCCTTTCCTTGGAAGGAAAAACCTAGCAGCCACCTGCTCACAGAATTAGCCTCCTTCCCTGACATCCAGGTAGTATTGTAAAACCCCCAGTTTGTTCCTTATTCCTGATCTCCTAAGTTCAATATGCTGTGTAAAGAAGCTGACAGTGGAAACATGAGACATTATAACCCAGGATTAAGGAGATTTGTCAACAGAACCCCAGATAATCCTGAGATGACTAGGATCTGGTGACCCTACTAATCAGTTCTGTCTCTATGTCTATAGGACTTCAGTAACCCAGTAGAAGATCAGAGAACTGAAGACTATTACAAGCCTACTCCTTCACTATGCCTCTGTGGTCCCCACTTAGGTAATCTAAGTCCCTGGAAGCTCTACTTAAATCTCTAGATCCAACCCTTGACACCCTATAAAGATATTGTGGGTTCTGACAAAGTCCTAGTGCCCCTTCTTTGACCATGTCCATAGTCACCAATGATTAATCTGTCTGAGGACAAGGATTAAGCCCTTGACTCTGGGCAGATCCTAATTAAAGCCCATGAGATCAGAACATATTTCTTAGACTCTGAGACCAGCTGTTTCTGGTCTTCTGGCCCTTCCTGCAGGTTACTCCAAAAAGGCCCATCTCCCCTAGCCATCATGGAGAAGGGTAAGGATTCAGTCCTTAAGTCTGAGAAGGGCAGAAAAGAAGAGGTTCCTAGAGAGGAAAAACAGACCCTTCTAAGCCAACGAGACCTGGGTTGAATGAAAAGGAGCATTAAAGTCACTTACCTAGGACGCTGAGCTGGGTTCCGCCGCCGAAAACATACCACAGTGACTGAGACTCAAACCAAAACCTGTGAGGCCAGCACCTGGGCCTGTCCTCAGGCAGCTGGGCTGGATCAAAACACGAGCTGGCTCTCATGGGTGGAGCTGTGACCTCACTTGAGGATAGGTGCATGATGATCCTTTTCACAGGCTTGTGTCCTTGTCAGACAGACACCACCATGGAGCTGCTTCTACACCATGAGTACTTTACCCTATCTCTGATACTGTCAGTGGTGACAGCAATACAGAAGATCCCAAACAAATCCTTAGAGACACATTGTTTCAGGTGTCTTTGTTGTGTGACATAGAGCACAAATAATTTTTAGCTTTATTTTACAGAGTGAGATGTTTTTCCTCACAAATTCACATAGTCCCACTTGGTCACCTTCTTTGGAACCAAGGACACAGGGCCACTCTTCCCTTATGAAACTTCCACCGAGAGAGTTCTCTTTGAATTTCTACCTACAGAGATATGATTCATATACACTTCATTCTTGTGTGTTTTCTCAGAAAACAGTATCTGTTCACCACTTTACTGATCTATACACATTCATCAATACCTATCTTTCTATATGTATACACCAAACAATGGCCCCAAAGCACTCATCTATTTGTTTGTCGCCTTTATGGTTTTCTGAAACTTCTTACACAAAAGACAAAAGTAACCTCCTCTCAAACAATTCTGTAGTTCACTTTGTTCTCCTTTGTGTCTGAAACTTCCCACATTCTATTATCTATTCTTTCCTTTTGGTCTGCACATGGCTGCTCATGCTAAGACCACTACTAGGGTAGTGCCTTCCCTGTCCTCTTTCTATTATTACTGTATATGACTTGTATTATGCACGCTGCAAACTCATAGCTATCCAGAACTCTGTATGTCTTGTTCTTTCTTTTTGGCTCTAAATTCAGGTGTATTATTTCTTCTTGAGTGTTCTATAGGAACCTCAAATTCAACAATCTCCAACCAAATTTATTTCCCTGAAACTTGATCCTCTATAATGTCTTCTTTTCAGCAGTTTTTCTCCAATATAGAGCCTGGAATCATCCCAGAATCTTTCCTTCTCATTGAATCAAAAAAATTGTTATTTTATATGGCACAGCATGCCATTTAAATCTCAAAACTCAAAGACAAACACCCAGATCACACCAAAAGCTCATGATGACAAGAATCCTTAGGTTTTGCTGAAATTTGGTTTTATCTCTCAATAATTTTTAAATTAAAAAAACCCCAACAACTACATGTGTCTATATACATATGGCTTTCTGTATGTGAGTTTAGTGCCCTCAGAGACCAGAAAAGGGTGTCAGATCTTCTGGAGCTAGAATTAAAGACCATTGTTATGAACCCAATGTGGGTTCTGGGAGCTAAACTTGAGTCTTCTGTGAGAGCAGTACACTCCAATAACCACTGAACCATCTCTCCAGCTCTCCAAGATTATTAATTTACATTGGAAGATTATCCATTGCATTAAGGATATCATTTTCTTTTTTCCTTCTTGTTCTCTACACTTTTAAAATTCCATCAGCATGACAATTGTCACTGGTTAAAGACTTGTCCGTAAGGTATTTTTTAAAATACATTAGAAGCATAAATCTAGCCCTTGTTTGTTAGTAAGTAAAACAAACATTCTTTATTTAATATTGGAAGGAAACTTCCTCAGTCTGCATAATTACCTTAAAAATCACAATATTCTTCACACTTAAAGCAAAACATTGAGTCAGAAACAAGGACAGACCCTCATTTATCCTTTTATCATTTATAATAGTTCACAGATTATGGATATTCAGATACAAATGCCTGGTAATATGCCAATCAATCAACAGAGCAACCTGAAAGAATCAGCTTAGCAGTCATTAAACTAGCATAAGAAGTAAGTGATTGAATACAAAAGCAGCTTATAAAGTCCATAGGCTTCCCTGCTGTATGAATGACCACATTTAGAGACCACATAAAGACCCATTTATGACTCTGACATTATAGAAAATACTCTAGAAATAAACAACATAGAATGTCATATAAACATGACTTGCCTTGTGAACAAGCTACTTGGCTATTTAATGTAAAAGTGAGTCTTCAGAGTACAACCTTGCCTCTTGATGAAAATGCTGAGTATTGTAAGGTCATTTCTTTTTAAATTAGTCATATACTGCATCAAAATTGCAGTCATAACAAGAAAAGCAAACTTCTTGAGAACCATGGAACTAATTCTAAAAAACAAGCAGTAAGAACAATGAAGAGTAGTCATAGGTAGTTGGTACCTGGACAGTACAACAAGGTCTACCTGATTAAATGGAGAAGGGTATAGGAAGGCAAGTTAAAGGAAAGTATTGGGGAGGGTGAGCAACTGATATTATAGAACTTATGAAAAGACAAGTAGAAACCAACTACAGTAGAAGTTTCATAAAATATCCACATATATGAAAGGAATTTAAATAGAGTTACCAGATAACGGGGAGACAGTGCCCCAACTAGACATATTATGTCATAGAGTAAAACTTTCAGTATTAGGAATTGGCTATAATTTGTTCAGTCATTGACCAAGAAATTCCTATAGACCTCCCACCCCCCAAAACACCATAGGCCATTGTCAAGGCTATTGATTGGCTCCTCTCTACAACCTGATGGTGAAGTTCTATTACTGAAGACAGTGCTTTCTTATATCATTGAACACAGAAAAGTCATATTGGCACCTAACTATAAGCTTCACCTCTACTGATTAGCATTGATTATTCTGCAAGGTATGTTGAATGCTAACAGAGGAGAAAGGTAATCATCAATATCACTTTACTACAAACTATATGGCATACAAAAGCAACCTGCCTGTAAGATTTGCTGGTGCTGTAGTGACATGAATATTATGGAACTAACCAACTATCCTGGTTGGACTTAAGGCCCTACTCCATGAGATGGAACTCATATCTGGCATGATAAAAGTGGCCAAGAATTTGATATTAGATAGGTCTTGAGCCTAAGGGAAAATTTACTATTATTATTTTGTTAAAGGAGCAGCAATAAAATGAAGTTATTGTAATTGATAACTGATAGCAAAGGGAAAAATCAGTTTTCTCCAAGGGAGTGACAGTGAGCATATCAACCACATTTAGGGAAAGCCCCATACCCAAGATTCACCATTGCCCAACACAGAATGAGCTTCATAGTCTTTGTATGCTTTCTCTGTATTGTTTCAGTATTTTTGTATTAATGATCTATTTGTTTGCTTTTGTTTTTGTACTTTTTAGAGAGAAAATAACAAGAAATTGAGTGGGTGGGGAGAGAGAATCTGAGAATACTTGAGGTAAAGGAAAGAATATCATTAAAATATATTTAAGTAATAAGAAGAATGCAATTGGAAGAATTCAGTATACTGTGACTAAAATTTTAAGCAGATTTTCTTATGTTTCCAGGTGTTTCAGAAACATGCAATTTTAATAAACTATTATCCTTAATAATAATAAGCTATTATTATTTTAATAATAATACAATAACCTTTACTGGGTACTAACTTTGTGCCACATTCTGCTGTTGGGTAACATGATTTTGAAGTTTTCCATTAGACTGCTTATGGTGGATATACCATGATGGGATCTTCTGTGGCATTTACATGAGTTCCTACTTTCTGTCATTACTAACAATGTTGAACTCACCTTTCCTGCATATAAGCATTTGGTTACAGGTCTCATTATGTTCCATGTTTAGGAATAATTCATAGAGTGGAATTGCACCATGAAGATAAACATATAGTTTACAACTCACTGATGTTCTTGAAATGGCTATACATTTAAGCTTTCTAGACAGTCCTTAAGATTGCTTTTTCCTTCCATGAAGGTTCTGATAATTCTTACTCTAAATCTAATCATTTTAATTCTTACTCCTCATAGATCTTGACCTGAGGTTATTAAGTGTTCCTGAGCCCCCTTCACATCTCCAGGCCATGCTCTATGCACAGTGTCTCTCCCTTGTCTTCTAGGGTCTCTTTCTCCATCCTCAAATAAGACCATACAGTTTGCTATTGGAACCAACTTTTCCAAAACACAGTTCAGCTTTGTTGGTCCCCTGCTGTACTGGGTGTGCTTTGTGTCAGCTTGACACAAGGAGAGTCAGTTGGGAGAATGCTCCCATGAGATCTAGTTGTAAAGCATTTTCTCAATTAGTGATCAGTTCGGGATGGCCCAGCTCATTGTGGGTGGAGTCATCTTTGGGCTGGAGGTCCTAGGTTCTATAAGAAAGCAGGCTGAACAAGCCATGGTAAGCAAGCCAGTAAACAGCACCCCTCCATGGCCTCTGCAAGAGTTCCTGCCTCCAGGTTCCTGCTCCTTCGAGTTTCTGTCCTGACTTTCTTCAGTGATGAACAACAATTTGGAAGTATAAGCTGAATAATCCCTTTGTTCCCCAATTTGCTCTTTGGTCCTGGGGTTTTGTTGCAGCAACAGAAACCTTAAGACTTTCACATAAATCCTATGATGCCTGTCTCACACCTCAAAGCAAAGGACAGAACATTAGGTGTCTTGGTCTCTGCCCAGCCTCTCCCTGCTATACTTAGTGTCCTGTTCTCCCTAAATCATTGCTGTTTTTGTGCGGTGTTCCTATCACCACTGGGTACTCAAAATATGTTATGCTAGCATTATTTACCATTTTATTGTTCCTAAAATGGACAATGGATCTTACACTATAACTGGATAGGCCCCTTTGGTTCAGACACAGTTCCTCTGTATTATCAGGCCCAGTAACTGTTTATAAATACCTTGGGGAGTGAAAGTCTTATCTTAGTGACAGGATAAGGCAAACACCATTCCTTCTTTATAGCCCGATTGTATGTCCCAAAATATAAGGCAGTAAGGGTAATATAACTACATCTTAGAGTACACATCTATTGTGGGCCTAGCCTTGGGCTAGAGATTAAACAAAATCTACAGTGCAACATTCAATTGTTCAGATTAACAACTCAAGAGATGATAAATCAGGCATGAAAATTTTAGCTGGGACAGACAAACCTGTGAGTCAAACTCAAGGACTATAGATAATGTCAAATATTGGAGTTTCTGCCTCCCTTAAAGGGGCAGCCCAGATGCTATTTCACAAAACAAAACAAAACAAAACAACAACAAAACCCAGCAATACATTACAGTCCTAAT